TATATTCATCTTATCTGACAAAAATAACTGTAAGTCCCTATATCAGTAACTCCCAGTCTGGGTTCAGAGGGCCCCCCGTAGTCTCAGGTGTCTTTTATAGCTGTATTTAATGAAGGACTACATCTTACACTTCATTATGTGCCTTCAATCTCCTGAGCCTAAAACGTGCCTGCTCCCCCCCTCCCTCCGCCTCAACCTTTTCCCCACCGACATGAAGTTTTTGGAGAGCAAGCTGTCTACTGTAATAAGGTCTCACATTTCACTTTGGTGTGACTGGTTCTTTTTATCATTGCTTAGCTTGTTCCTTTAGCCCTTGTGTTTCTTCTAAACTAGAAGTTAGAGTTAAATCAGGAAAATGTATTTGTCAAAAACACTTTAATAGGTGACATCAGACCTTTCACACTGCATCCTGTTGGGAGGCAGTAATGGAATCTCACTGTAAGTGATGCTAGTTTTGCTCACTGGGTGAAGGTGGTAACTACCTAAGTCCCCTGTTGTACAGGTATTTTCTTTTTGCCGTTAACAAGTGTGGGGGATACTTTAGCAACATGCAAATATCTAGTTTTCCATCAACCTTTCACAGTTTTAGCATCCATTAGGCTTTTTAAATAGTGCTAGCATATTGTACTATAACTTGCTTTCTTCACTCTACATTGTATTTTGTTGAGGTTTTCATCCTAGGACATAATAGATTTAACTGCATTTTATTTACCTGTTACAGTATTCCATAGCCTGGATATACCATACTTTAACAATTGCCTTGTTTATAATTATTTAAATTGTTTCTAATGTTTTGCTCTTACAAGTAAGGTTACTTTAATCAGCATAATACACATACCCCGCAACATGTGTATACATCTCTGTGGTGAATAATGGAAGAAATAGAATTCCTTGGAGAAAGCATACATATTTAAATTTTAATGCCATGCTTTCCAACCAGAAAATTATACCAATTTATAATTTCACCAATAGCATAAAGATATTTTTTCCTCTCTGTCCTCAGTATTTGCCATCAGTTTTCTTTATATCTTCCAACCTTATGGACAAATAATAGTGCCTCCATATTTTAA